TTTTTATATACCTTTGTATTTTTTATGGAGTCAATAAATCACTCAATAAAGTCATTAAATTAATCTTGAATTTTGATATAGAAATGAACCGTACATAAAGTCATTTTGGAATTCCGATTCCTGAAAACATTTTGTACTAGCCTTATAATCGCAACTCTTTTTAAAAAAATAATCTTGTCAAATAATCTCGCATTATATTCAAGCGAACATATGTTTAACGTGAGTTTAACCATAGATCTAGCTTTTTATTTGTTTTTCGACTTGTATATTAAAGTTTTCATTGCTCTAATTTGTCATTAGCAGTGTCTCGCTATGGCATGGAATGAAAGTGTTATACAGATACAAAAACATGTGAGTGAACATTTCAAAACCGATGGCGTTTAGGGAATGCTCAATAATTCTGTCACTTGGTAATGTCAGTAATGTAAAAGCCATCTCCAGGGGGCCCTCTTCGGGGGGTCATTCCCAGTCACTAAGTCATCGCCTCATTTACCCCTCATTTAAACCTGGTGTTTATGCAGCAGTGATATTGCTTCTGATGGAGTAATAAAAATCTCAGTCACGTGGTTTAATGCTCTAAAAACCCACCTCTTTGTAGATTGTTGGGCTCTTCAGTGGTTGCATGCGCACTGTTAATTTTTTTTTTACTATGTCGTACTAGCTCTTGTTGTGCCACTTTAACGATTTACAAGGACCATGCGATATACGATATACCATGTGCCCGACCAAGTGCAACAATAATCATAAGCGTGATTGAAATTTAGATTTCACGTTGTGCGATAACAAAAAACTAATTTCAGGATAAACGAGAATCCAATATCCTGCTACATTATAATGCTCAGAAGAAATCTTGAAGATTTAAATCGAAACATTAGATTGTTGTTTTTCGACATCGGATTTCTACAAGTATTGATTTCATGTATATTTTTCGATAAATACCAAACCTATACGAGAGCAAAAAAAAAATGCAGTGAGCAGGTAGTATAAATCAAATTGATTGTGATACTTAAATTGTATACTCACATTTAAGTATCATGTATCATACAATATTAAGCTTATGTTAATATGTTTTCAAGATGTATTCCCTACGTCTTTACGTCATGTTTTTGTGAGGCAGCATTGAGGATTTTGTTTCGATTCATGGCATACCGTAGGCCTACAAACAAACAAACATCCTGCATTCTCAACTTGGATTCACAATGTACCTTTCTGTTAAGCCCCGCCCCTTGGATATTGTTGCTAAGGTCCCATAAACACGTGCGATTGAAGGATAATAGACGTGTCTGTTGGACTCGCGCGTGGTCCTGACCCTGTTCTGATTGGTCAGTTGTTAAGTTTGACTGACACTTAGGAAAGGTCCATTATCTACATACACGTAAGAAAAAGAGCACTATTTTTTCATCATCCCTTCTTCCTCTCTGAAAGTGGGAATTAACAACTGACGATTTTGCAACGCCGTTCTTTATGTTTTGTTTTTTGCCTTTCTTGAGAATCAACAAACTCAGTTTATAATACGGTATATCAACATGAAACATACTTCCTAATGAATATGGCAGAGTAATTATTTTAAAACTTATATAGTGTATAGTGTATAAGTGTATCCGTCTCATTCCCCAAGCCTTGTACACTCCAGGAAATGTAAAAAAAAAATGAGTGGCACCTCGGGCCAGATGCGAAAGATACTTGATGATTATGATATGGACGATATCATCAGAATACTGAAGGAGATATTTCTATCAACGAGTTTCAATTAATTCGTCATGTCCCTGTCCACAAGAGAGAACATTTTAAAACCTAAACGTCGTCAGTCCACCTCCTTGCCGTCAACAATATCAATCCACACCGGACCATTTCAAATTAAACTAACCACTAACCAACATTACTAAGCAATTGAAATGTTTAAAATATACTACTACTGTAACTGGCATTGGAATGCACATTCCTCTTCTAAATAATGAAACAGCCACGGCATCCATAAGAACTTTCGGAGGCGACGGTTGAACTAAATGCTACACATGTTTTTGCTGCTAACCCGACATACTTCAGTATTGATGTATTCGTGCGCACCTCGAATGACTCTGTGCAAATATAGGATACATCGTGCCAAGTAATGATGTGAAAGTATGTTCTCCGAAGACATACGGTACGGCACAGATTGAAAAATTTGTAATACGTAGACACATAAGTCTGCGTAATATTATCGAAAGGATAAAGTAATGCGATGTATATATATATATATGTCCATTTGATCACACAATATTTAATATTCATACACTGTAAAATGCAGACTGTGGTTCAAGACTTGCTTCAAACAACAATTAAGATTATATATATACTGTCTCTTATACACATCTAGATGTGTATAAGAGACAGGTATAGACCTTCATAAGAGACAGCAATTCAGGTTGACATTCTTCATATTTTATATTGCGTCATAGTTATGGAAATTATTATAATAATTATAATATAATATTAACATTGAAATTTACTGATCATTATCATCACCTTCATCGTCAACATCATCATCAGCCTATTGTATTACTGTCCTTACAATAATGCCTATAGGCCTATCAGGGAACAGTTATATCAATAATGTTTTAATGATACTACACGTATTACATTTAGGCTTATTACTGCCATCATAATGTGTAGGTAATGTATTAAATATGTTGTCTTTAACAGGATGCATGGGGTCGAAAAGTGCCGAGAAGCTGTACTACGATCTGATGCGCGGGTACGACGAACTGATCCGACCCGTAGAAAATGTCACCGAGCCAGTGATTGTTAAGTTTGGTGTCTCAATTTCTCAACTTATTGATGTGGTGAGATATTTTCTCTTAATATTTTATTATTATAAAAAAAAAAACCAAAAATTAGGGTTTTTTTTTCAAAATTATGTACCTGTAATATTCACATTCATACTAAAAATAAAAAGGACGTTCATAAATCAGTGACGCGTGACACCGCGTGAAAAGAATTCAGTGATGCGTAAACATAAATCACTGACGTGTGTCTTAAATGTTTACTAAATCTAGGCATATAGGCCTAATATAATAATTAATATCTGCATAATGACAGGGCATACTTCCCAAAGCATCTCAGCTTTTTACATAGACCTATTAAAATGAAGTTAGAAGTGTTTTTAAAATAATATACAAATAAATACTATATTTTCTGTAATAATATCTTACTTTCACCTTTCCCTGTGCTTGTCATTTATACTTTCTATCGGTGCCAAAATTATAGGATAAGACAACATAGGCCTATTTGTTATTGTCCAATACAACATTATAAATGTGTTTTCCCTTAGACAACAAAAATGTATAAAACACCAGACTATCCAAACCAACATGTAAACTAAATTAGGGAATTTATGGAAATGATTATGGATAAATCGGCATATTATTAGAATTAGTAATCTAGAAATTAATAAAGTCACGCTAAATATTGATTTTCAATTTGTTAAATTAATTTTGTTTCATATACAGGATGAAAAAAATCAAATATTGGTAACAAGTGTATGGGTAAAGCAGGTAAAAATTTATATATCATGGTTATTTTATTATTACCTTTTACACTCCAGTGGTTAGTGAATGAAATTAGTTCCGGTTCGGAATATCAATCTTGAGGCGGGAATTTGAACGCTCTGCTGTGATTTTTCGTTTGTGGCCTTGTTTGTGAACAACATGTTTGTGAACTGTAAACAAATTAGAGATTTGTAGATGAAAGTAAATACCATAGCTGCTGTGGCATCCAATATTTATAAAAGTGTCTTCATTTAAAAGACTACTATTTGTAACTATGAAATGTACACATGCGCCATTGCATAGACTCAAGCTCCTAAGAAATCTGGAAATAACAAAAAATAACCGTATAATGCTCACTCGAAATTGAGGAACGGCTAAGAAGAAAAATAAGTTTAAAAAATGAAAATGTATTGTAAAATACAGTCATTTAAACAAAGGTTGGAATTTATTGCCAACAAAAATTTTCTGGGACAAATAATTACATTCAAGAAATCATCTTATTTTAACCTCATTTTTCCCACTAGCTCCCTTTACTTAATCATCAATCACCTCTATCATCCCCACCCACACCCCTTATGGCAATTCTCTTCTATACGCCACTGCAACTACGGTTTTAGTTGGCTTAGGCCTATGTGTATTACGTGTGTACAGTATGTGTATTTGGGTTATGTGTTTACCTATCAGAAATCTAATACATCTCCTCTTCTTCTTCTTCTGCTGCTAGGAGTGGCATGACTTCAAATTAACATGGGACCCAGAAGAATACGACGGCCTAGAATCAATTAGAATTCCTATTGAACAACTATGGAGGCCAGACTTCGTTTTATATAACAAGTAAGTATACTACCAAATTGTTCCTCTTCATATTTACGATCGTTCAAAGTCAATGATGACGTCATAAATTAAGTGAATATTAATTAGGCATAGTGACATGTTAATATATTCATTTTTTATTGTTCCCATTTTCCAGCGCCGATGGGGATTACGATATGCAGTTCATGACAAATGCCATCGTCGGTTATAAGGGCGACGTCTTCTGGATGCCTCCCGCCATCTTTAAAACGTCATGCTTGATAGAAATCGAATTCTTTCCATTTGACGAACAGTTGTGCAAAATGAAATTCGGATCGTGGACGCACGACTCTAAGTATATAGACATGGCTAAGTTATCAGGTTCCGTCGATCTTGAGGACTATTGGCCGAACGGCGAGTGGGCCATTATGGAGGCTCCGATTAACAGGCATAATCTTTCGTACCCATGTTGCCCGAATGAGTTCTACATTGACATTACCGTTGAGTTCGTTATTCATAGGAAACCGTTGTTCTATGTTGTGACACTAGTGATCCCGTGTCTGCTTATCTCCTTTCTCACCATACTCGTGTTCTATCTTCCATCGGACGCGCAAGAGAAGATCACCTTGTCTATCTCAATTCTCCTGGCGTTGATTGTGTTTCTGTTGCTTATCCCGAGCATTATTCCACCGACGTCTAACAACCTGCCATTGATCGGTCGCTACATGCTCTTCACCATGGGACTGGTAACAGCGTCTATATTTGTCACAGTCGTCGTCATTAATATCCACTTCCGATCTGCGACAACCCACGAGATGCCGCAGTGGATCCGCAAGGTTTTCTTGCAGACTCTCCCGACGATCTTGTGTATGTCCAGGCCGGGAGGAGTTCAGCTATGTGACGGATGCAAAACGCCTCGTGCCAAACGAACTTCACTGAACGGCGTTCCATTTCATCCGATCTGGGTTGGTCCTGACATGAAACTATCTACTAAGTACATGATGAACACTATTACACCGTCACTGTTGGAAGAGATCCAACAGAGAGACAATGGTGGTGAATGCAGTAATAAAAATGAACTACCGACTGAATGCCGGGAAGCTGTTGATTCCATAGAATACATAGCATCGCATTTAAAACTATACGATGAGAATAATTTGGTAAGGTTTAATTTCAACATTATTTTCACTGTGTATATTATCCACAATGCTATTTACCGAATGATTGGATTTACAACCAATCAGATGTACAGTAATTAAATACATTCTTTCATCTTATGTATTCGCCTAAAATAATAACTCGAGAAGTCACACTTTGGAGTGCATACCTCCGTCCTGTGCCTGAATATAGTACCAGCAATACACAGGCCGTGGCTGACGGGCGAAACAGCAGCATACCCTAAACAAAAAATAGAATCACCCGTCGTATCCAGGCACACTGATATACTTGAGTGAGGGGCGATTCCATTATTTTATTTTATGCTCGACGATAAACAATCGAATTTCCTTTACTCTGTCCTTTGATCTTTTCTTCTGAAAATTGAATGGTGACTTTCTTCGATTATTATGTACCATTCCACTAAATTTTATGTTGATCCATTTATTAGTTTTTGCGTAATCTTGCTAAGAGACAGGCAGACAGCAGTGAATAAATAACCTCCTTCCATTCATTAATTTTTGCGTAATTTTGCTAAGAGACAGAGAAGCTAAAAAGTCTATTCATAAAGCCTATAAAAACGCGGTTACTAATAACGATGAAATACTGTATAAGTTGATCAAACTCTTCTGTTAAGACTTTCTTTCATGAATTGGCGCAATAATTCTTGAAGTAATCCTTGAATTTAAAATACTCTTCTTTTTTTCAGATAAGTGAAGACTGGAAATACGTTGCAATGGTAATCGACCGCATTTTCCTGTGGGTTTTTGCAGTTTTATGCACAAGTGGTACCCTGGGGATCATTTTAAATTCCCCGATGTTATGGGAACCCGAGGGAAAACACAATACAACAATACCTGTACCTCCTGAAATATTACACTCTGTGACGTATTCAGAACCCTGAGTGTGTGACATAATAATGTCTCGGATGTTGCTGCTACGAAGGGCTGCTGAAATCAAGGATATCCTCAATGAAAATGAAAGCATTTGTGAATCGATGGAAGACTTTAAATGAAGAGGGCAATCGTCAGATAAAGCCTGGTTTCCATACAAAATCCCTACACGCTATCGCCCACTCCTTTGGCGACGCTGATTGGTCAGTTGAATCAGCGTTCCCGATTGCGTCGTCGGGGACAGCTACGCAGTGCAAGGGTTGCAGTAAAAGAGCTGTAGCGATTGTATGGAAACGAAGCTTAACCGGTATGGTTCAAGAGGAACGACAATAATGAACGTAACGTAGCCAAGCACGATTGTCCGCGCTTGACTGATTACAAACAATTCTCAATCGATTATTAATGACTTTTCAGAAGAGTTGGATATCATGATAATATTTCATTTAGGCCTACATACCTTTTTTTTTAGGTTTTAGCTGATCAATTGCAGTAATTTAACAACACAACTCACAAACGACACTCGCGCACATTACGGAGCTTTCTATTTGCGCGACGGCGTTACTTACGAATTGATTGATCCCTTACCGTTCTTCGTTATCTGTACAATAATTGTAGATTCGGGTACTGTATAATTATGAACAATAACAAAATCTAGCAATTAACAGCCGTTAGAAAGAGCAATTATTACTAAGGCCATATTTGTTTTATGATTTTGTAAACTGGAAAACCTAGAGTGGCCTTAAGGTACAGCATATTTAGTTGCATGATTAACATTTTTATAATGTTAGATATTTTGAAAATATGTATATTATTATAGGCCTACTCAAGAAAGTCTTTCACGCACATGTTTACTTGTTCACATTGTCGCGAAAGCAAATTATGTCATCTATGCTAATCTTTATATTGTTTTCCGAATTGAGCTAGCAAGCTTGTGAAACCATTCGAAGACATATTAACAAATTCAACATTGAAAGTGGAGACGATTATCAGGCAACATCGTATATATGAGTAATTTGTCGCGTTATGACTATACAGTACCCAATTATGGCGAAGAAGAATAATCAGAAATATCAAATAATTTCTTAATGTAGACATAAACACGCTAGAACGAATGTATGTCTATATATCACGCACAAAATGCTTCAGATTTTCAGTAGATCAGTCTTTAGATAAATTTGTCTTTGCTAATGCGTGTCTGCCTGATATTTATGTGTGTGTTCGGGGTGGGTTTGTGGGTGGGTGGGTGGTTGATTTGTAAATTATATACTGTATGCCTTTAGGTTTGTGTATAAAACGGGATCTGATCCACCACAGCAACGTACCGTATATTATCAATTTCGCCACTTTTAGTGAAATGTACGATAGCGTGGACTGTATACCTTCGGATAACCTCTATACAAGTAGAATATTGCATTGCGTTATTCGAATTTTTGTTTTAATTCAAATATTGAAATATTCAAATTGAAAATACGTAATTAATTAATTCATTAATAGTGGAGCTGTTCGAAACATGAGATGCCGGTAATATCGCACTATTGGTGGTGATTTTGTTTTGTTTAAATCATGCAGTGCGAAGGGGGTCAAAAAAGGTAAGAATAGTAGAAATAAGTGAGAGATACCATATTAATTATTAAACAGCAGAAAATTGTAAATTGTGTTATACTGTGTCCTCTGAATACTGAGAATACAAAGATTTCGAGACGGCGCCCTAGACATAAATAATGGTACATGATCAGCACCAAGGCGAATCACTCGTGGTGAAAATGTTTGTAGTTGTCAGGCGATGTATCATCAATATATTGTTGACGAAGATGGAGATGACGGTGGTGGTGATAATAATAAACGGATATTTATAATGCGCCGGTATCCGTCGAAGACGCTCATGATGGGGATTACATTACGATGATAGTGGTGATGTTAATGATGGTGGTGGTGGTGGCAGGGGTGGCGCCAGCAGGGGCCTGGGGAGCCAGAGCCCCCGTCGGAGAGAAAAACCACAATTTGTCGGGGAGAAATAAAATTTATATATGTTTTCTACATATTAGTAGACTCGATTAAATAAGCCTTTGAAACCCCTAAATTGTCATATTTTTCAGGGGCTTTGCCACCACTCAATTTTTTTCCAGAAAACACTTGTTTTCGTCGGGGACTCGCCCCCCCCCCCGTCGGGGAGATCGGACCCCCGTCGAGCAAATGCTGGCCGCCACCCCTGGGTGGTGGTGGGTGTGGTGTGGTGGTGGCGGTGATGATGATGTAATGCTAACGATGTTTTGGATGATAATAAACATGACGGTGAGAATATTGATGCTGAGCTGATGAAAATGATAATGGGCCCAGTATGAGCAATGATTTAACGATGATGATGGTGTGGGGGTGATGATGAAGAAGATGGTGATGATGATGTTAATAATGACAATTATAACAATGAAGAGAGTAATGATTTAATGATGAAGAAAACGACGAGGATGGTGGAGGAGATGGTTTAAAAACTGTAAACCAACATCGACAGCTCAATTTATATCTATAAAAGCAACGATGATTATTATAAGGAAATGGTAATTAAAGAGATGAAGTTAGTAGTGACGTGGTAATGATGATTACTGACGATAATAATAAAATAAAGAATAATGAAGTTGATGATGATGATGATAAGGAGGAGTGAAGAATAATCATGATGATGATGATAATGATGTTGATGGTGATTCCAAATTTTCAAATTTCTCCTAAGATATGCAAAAAATCATCCAATTCCTCTCCTGGTATTATCCTATTTCATGTCCAAATCCTCTATTCCCATTCTGAAATTACCCGATTCCCGCCGAGAGAATCCGAGTCAGGCACGAATGAACGATAGCTGAAATATGTTACCAACGGAAATGAGCATCGATGTTGAAAAGACGAACAGGTAATACGAAAGGTGTTCTCTGTTAGTGAGGGAGAGTGATAATGTAGCGACATAATAGGTGAAGCATTTGGTGCCGTCTGACAAACCCTAATCGATTTTATATATACAGTATTGATATGGTTCGTGGAGATACGACATGTTCAGTTGGTAATTCAATAAATAAACCCTTCTATGTAAATACAGACGGGTCAGGATGTAAATAGGCCTAGTAGCAGTGGTAATGAGAAAGACATTCTAATTAGACGGCGGTGCATTGATTGCCTGATATTTAGCGTAACACCAGTGTATATTTTTATAGGCCTATGATCAGTTGACAACCGCCATATTTAACTTTCTTGACAGTAACTGTGGTATAGAAAAAAACCACATTTATGACAGTATGAGGGTATTAGATTTCTTTTAGAAAACCAATTTTCCAAAGGGATTCGAACCAAGACGTCCGATTACCATTCGGATGAGCGAGCCAGGAGAAAAAAAGTATAGGCCTGCTCTTTTAGACTTTCCCATTAGGACGTGGGGTTTTCCATTGTATTGAGTAATACCCAATAGATAGGCTAAGCGATAAATAATTCTGTTAAAAATGTGCGTTGCGTATCTCACACATTTAAAATAATGTATGGCGCGGTTTATGCCAAGCGAGCATACACCACAACGGTATTTTCTATGTTATTTAACTTTAAACACCTTCAACGCACTTGTACGGTAAATTACCAACCATACTAATCCCGAACGAGAACATTTCCAGAACACATACCTCAGGGGCGGATTTGGGGGGGGGGGAGCCTGCGACTGCCCCCCCCCCCCCCCTTTTTACCCCACAATTTTTTTTTTCTTTGAGATAATTGAATGGATACTCAATTCCATAGAAAGGTTGATTCTATGTCACATCGCGCAATGCATAGCTACAAAGAAGAAAGTTTAAGCGCAGATGCACCAGCATGGAAACTTTCGTGCAATCAATCACTCTCTATCGAGGTCAGCAGGTATGTGCTGACAGACAACCCCGTGCACAGTGACCATAGTACACTGATATGTGTGCACATCTCAACTGACGACACCCCTTCAGTAGACTTACTCTTTTAATAAAGTACAGTTTTTGTGTAGACAACATTTGACACTTTTGACGTGTAAGTTTTACTTCCTTATTGTTTTCAAGTACAGTACATCATTGTGTAATTTACAAAGTAGGCCTACCTAAACCTATTGCGCCCCGCCCCCGCCCCCCCCCCTTTTTTTTCTGGCAGGCTAGATCCACCCCTGTACCTTGATAGTCGGCATTAAGACAATTAAACTTAATGCGCAGGAAAAATGTTAATTTAGTGTTATGATAGCAATAATGTTTCAGCATTGATGAGTCGAAGAACGGCCTAATCAAGAGAGGACGAACAAGCTAATTTCCTTATGATTTACAATCAGCATCACCGAAAGCTGTCGGTGATAGCGTGTAGTGATTGTATGCAAACAGAGCCTAAAGGTCAAGATGACTTTTTCAAGCGATTATAATAAAATCAGAGATGTCTACAAGCAGAAAGACGAAGAGGATTGCGACAGCGGTTGACCTCGCTGGCATTAAATCACCGAATATTAGATTATTACCATAGAGATATAATAAGAATACTAGAGTGCTAACAGCAATGTATTCGATGTTCGAAATACGCAGAGCTGTGTGTGTGACTTCCTCGTATAGATGTTAATTATTTTATTTTCACCGGGTACTTTAAGGTCTGTCTCTTATACACATCTAGATGTGTTTAAGAGACAGGTGTAGTGATTGTATGCAAACAGAGCCTAAAGGTCAAGATGACTTTTTCAAGCGATTATAATAAAATCAGAGATGTCTACAAGCAGAAAGACGAAGAGGATTGCGACAGCGGTTGACCCCGCTGGCATTAAATCACCGAATATTAGATTATTACATATCGATAAACCAAATGCCTCTCAACCAAATACCACAATTAAGAGATACGAATACTAGACATGATTACAGAAGAATTATTAAACGAGTTCATTCCACATTTTCATTCGATTAAAAATTAAGGATGGGCCTGGCCAACGCTTAATGAGTTACTGTAAATGCTCGAATAAGCGCCGCTCTCCTAAACCTAATTTTTTTAGCTATAAGCACCGCTCTCGTATGAGCGCCGCGGCGCTTAATCGAGAGCATGTATTACCCTATGTGTAATGAAACACTTTGAGAAACAAGGTTTTAAATACAACGTATACAGTGTTAAAAGAAATAAATAACACAATGAAGACACAAGAATTTCTATATAAACGTTTATTTACGATGACGTAGGACCTATGATAGCCCTGAACTACGGGAATACATGCGATAGGTAACATGGAAACGGCCATGGAAAGCGCCACGCCAATATGTTTAGTGCCAATATGCACTGAAGCCTCCAAAAATTGTATAAGCGCCGCGGCGCTTATTCGAGTATTTACGATACGCTACTCATATGTTCAGCTGAAAAAAAAAACACAATAGGCCTATAACTTAATATCATACAGGTCGAATTTTAATATATTTTTCTTGCAGACAGTATGACGACATGTTTGCTGATGTTTGCTTCAATCATAATAATTGCAACAAAAAAGTAGATATTCAACTACAAGTTCGTGCAAATATTTGATGGGTTTTAAGCATGATAATAAATAATGCGCATTTGTGCGAATTACAAACAGCATCGCCCTCCATTTACGTACACATAGGCTATTTGCTCAGGTAAGAAGGAGTGACAATTCGACTGGTATGTATAGGTCACGAAAGGTCAGGATACCTCCATTTTAATTCCAACTTACCTGTATTTTGAACATAATATTTATAAAAATAAATGTGCTAATGCGTTATGTATAAATACCGCTCTGAGCAGTTGCTTGGTACAATGGCCAATGTCGAGCGGTGGTGTACGCATGCGCGAGTTATACTGCCACGGGTTGAAAGTAAATGAAGTGGAATTATTTTGTATCGAGAAATAGGTCCAGCTCCGTACGCGTCTAACGATGATGCATGATATGAAAAGCAATAGTATCGCTCTGACATGGTATAAACTGGATATAGACAAGGTGTGGGCTCAGAAGCCTATCATGTGCTGCTTTACTTCCTCGTATAGATGTTAATTATTTTATTTTCACCGGGTACTTTAAGGTAAGGAATTTTCTTTCTTGAAATATTATAATAACGTGATATAATTACCAGGTAAACATTTTACAGATGAGTTACGTATTTAATGTGGTTGCTAAGAAATTAATCCGGCGTTTTAAATGCTACATTATCATCAGAAAAGCTTTTTGATGATGCTTCTATATTATGTTACAGAATAAAAAAAATTGGCTTTATCGGATATTTCCATACCTCCTAAGGACAAAACCTTAAAACAGACAGACAGGCTAAACGCCTGCATTTGACAGTATGCATCCAGTCGAGAAAAAATACCAAACTATGACTTTCGTATTTTGGCAAACGAAATCTCACCTACTGTTTGTATTTCTGATGATCATCTTCATCGCAACAGGTAAGAACTCAATACTCAAATCTGGGATGCATAATTTGTAATGATAGGAAATATCCAATTTCGTATTCCGTATTGATCAACGACCGTCGGGGAAATTATAACCATTTTAAGGGACACGTACCATTGACGGCCGACCGTTGTTGCTTGCAGCATTTAGCTCAAGTCGTTGCTGGATCCATTAAGATATTCAACCGACGACGCGATGTTCTCTGCCTTTTAGTACAGTGTAGTAGAGATAATTTACTATAATATTTTTCCAAGTCATTATGCCAAAATCATGCGCATACTTTCGTAAATTCAACGCCTTTTACGAATGTCTTCTTGAAGTAAACCTTAATGAAATTTATAGAATCTATTATGGATTTACAGGTATCTGTATATGTATGCCTGCAGGTCAAAACATGATTATATGTCTTAGGTATTTATATTCATTTGACGAAACAAACTTTGAATCCAGCCCATGTCAAAACCCGAATCCTTTGTAGTATAAAAATAATTTAGGTGGTTGTTCCCAAATTTATAGGCCTACTCATAGAGACCCTCCTGAAAAGCTTTTGCTAAGTGGGACACAATTCTTAAAAAGTAAGAAAATTATTGTATACTTAAAAAAAAAAACCGCCAGATGACCTGTCTGCTAGCAACTGCAGTACTTAAAACAGACCGAAAGCCAAGCTGGTCACTTGACTGCAACATTCATTGGTCAAAGATCGACTGGTGTACAAAAACGAACTGAGTACGTCACGGTCGAGCGAGGCCTACAACATTGGCAATCGCACGTTTAGGCCTACTGGTAATCGCGTGTATACTGGGAATCGCGCATAGAGGTGCACCATCATCATCATCATCATCATCATCATCATCATCGTCGTCGTCGTCGTCGTGATTGTCGTCATCACAATCATCATAATCTGTAGAAAATAAGTTTATAAATTTTAATGTCAACTGACAAATTTACTTTAATTGAGAAAATTTCAAAATATATTTATTAACTACCGTATGTTAATTAATATTGCATCTGATTTTGTTAATGTTTGTTTTTTTATACTCCCGGCCGTTGGCTTATGTTTATGAATGAATGCCCTAAGCATTGTGTTTAGGGAGGAAGAAGTAGTATCACATCACCATTGTCAACCTGACATTTATTATTTATTTATTTATTTATTTATTGTAGTTTTCACCATCATCATTACCACCACCTGTGTCAACTACAATATCATCAATATAAGTATCGTCATCATCAATACTATCATCATGATCATAGTCGTCATTATCCTCATTATCTTCATCATCATGTTCACAACATAAGGCTATTATCATTATTATTATCATTATCCCGATCATCATTATTATCAACATCAACATTATCGTCATTGTCACCATCATATTCTTTTCTTCTTCATACACCACCATCATCATCATCATTGAGATTACCACCATCATTGAGATCATCACCACAATCATCTTTTTAATTATCGTCATCACTATAATCACCATCATCGTTATCATGATAAGTATCACCATCATCAGCAGCATCATCATTACTATCATCACGTGTATGTATGTATATTTGTGTGTGTATGTATGTGTATAATTTTGATATTTTAGATATTTAATAATAAAGTCTTAGAATGGTCAAAAAAGACCAATAACTAATATATCTTATATGTAAAACGTCTTAAAATATGTTTTTTTACTGTTATTCGTGAAATAGTACTGTACAACAGAAGTAAATACGGCTCTGCCTGAATTATAAAAATGTGAATTGACAAAAAAAAAAATCCGAGAAGTTTTTTGAGAGAAAATAAATTACTTGTTAAAAAATTAAGAAAGAAATGAAATTAAGATCGAAAACCGAGATCGATGTTTCATGTTCATGCATTGGTACCGTATATATGTGAATGTTTGTTTTTTTAATGATGTGAATAAATGTGGCTTTGCCAGTAAAAAAAATCATTACTATCACCATCATCATCATCACCTTCATCACCGTCGCCATCATTATCATCATTATAATCATCATCGTCATTATCATCGACATCATCATCATTGTCATCATCCCCATCATCATCCCCATCATTATCCCCATCATGATCATCACCACCATCATCATGATCATCATCATCATCATCATCATCATCATCATCATCATCATCATCATCATCTCATCATTATCATCATCATCATCATCATCTTCACAAACATCAGTAACCTCATTGAACGTGGTCTACATTTTCTTGACGTCACTGGAGTAGCTATCGGTTAGTGGAACTAAATGAAGCGAATAACCATGTCTTGTAGCACATCAGTTTAAATGCAAATTGCATCAAGTGTTGAAATGCTCTAAAAAAAAAAGCATCTACTTTGCCATCAAGCTCTACATAATCTGAAGCAAAGCAGCAGATTTCGACGAATGAAAAACAATGTTTTTTTGTCCATAGTGTTAATTTCAAGAAAATGTGTTTAATGCAAACTTAAATACGGAAACAATTGATTAAGCCAACTATAGATTGGGTTGCAAAAGCCTGGCCGACCGATGGTCTTGAAAATCTGATTTTAGCCTTTTTTGGAGAAAATATAATAGTTTATAATAGTATATATATATATATATATATATATATATATGTATGTATGTATGTATATATATATATAGGCCTATATATGTTATGATATACTAAATGTTATATCTTAACCATGGATTTTAGTCCTGTGATTAGCAATTTACTAATTAAATGCATGAAGGGATGGTTCTTAATACGTATACACAATTAGAACTATAAGGTAGGGTCTTGGGAATGAGTAGATAATTTTTTGTTATTTCTAAAAACAACCCCAGCCTGCCACAAAATCAGTATTAGAATTTATTGTCACGACTCACATTCATTGATAATGAAATCCATCATCATTTATACATCACAAGAACAACAAGACAATAATAACTTAAACACATACACATCCACAAGTCAAACAATACAAAAACAGTAAGTAAGCCCACAAAAAGGTGTTGCCAAGCCCGAACGATGTGAAATCTAAAAAATCTGGTTGCTTATATATATAT